ACTCAGGACCAGAGTACTGAGGATGTGCATTTTTAATAAACTAGTCAGGTGATTCCAACAGCCAGTGCAGCGTTTGTGAGAGCCCAACATTTGGGAACATGTGGTCCAGTCCAGTACTTACTTTACAAATAAGAAAATGAAGACCCAAGATTTTTAAATTTCAAAATTATTAGACATATTCATGTATCGTGTGCTAAAAACCATATTTTCTGGCACCCAGTACACGCCTCTTCCCAGGAGGTCACAGTGCTTTTTGGAGTGGTCACTGTTACGATACTAGGGCACTTGCAGGGTGCCTGGGTGGCTCAGCTGGCTAAGTGTCTGACTTCAGCTAAGGTTCTGATCTCACAGTCCCACGAATTCAAGCCCCGTGTCAGGCTCTGTGCTGACAGCTCAGAACCTGGAGCCTGCTTCGGATTCTGTATCTCCCTCTCTCTCTGTCCCTCCCCCGCTCTCGCTCGCTCTCTCTCTCTCTCTCTCGCTCTCAAAAATAAAATAAAAACATTAAAAATTTTTAAATAAAATAAAATATATTAGGCCACTTGCTTTCCTCCATAGACAAGGCCTACTTAACACCGTAAGCTTTGAGGTATGCATCTTGGATTGTCCTGAGGTTTCCGTTCCAGGCGCTTTTCAGTTCAACACACTGCTTTCAATGTTGAGGCACGTTTTGTTTTTTTTTTTAATGTGTATATATTTTTGTGAGAGAGAGAGAGACAGAGTGCAAGTGGGGGAGGGACAGAAGAAGAGGGGGAGACACAGAATCTGAAGCAGACTACAGGCTCTGAGCTGTCAGCACAGAGCCCAAAGCGGGGCTTGAACTCCAGAACGGCGAGATCATGACCTAGGCCGAAGTCAAGATGCTTAACCGACTGAGCCACACAGGTGCCCCTCAGGTTGAGATGCTTAAATGACACTAAACCGCTATGTCTATGGGAAGGCTACTAGATCATTCTTCTCTGTTCTATCCTTTTGTTGTTTGATTTTCATGAATTCTTTGAATTTATTTTCTAGATTCCCCTTCTAGGTATACTTATAAATAGAAGTTGAACACTAAAATGAAAATACGGGTAAAAATTAGTTGCCAAACATCAGCTGATGGTTCCATATTAACTACATACTGGTGCTGTGAATCAAAACACCCAGCTTTTCTAGAAATAGAAGTGGGTATAATGAACTTTGCTTCTTAGGTTTCCTAAATAGACCGTACATAACCAACACATACAAAGAAAAAAGCATTTATCCACGTATGCATCCATTCACCAGATATTATTGGCCACATGTGCTCTATTCTAGTACTGATCTAAACATGGAATACAGTTGTGAGCAGGAGAGAACTTTGCTCTCCTCTCATAGAACCTAAGTTCTAGAGGGAGATTGTATGTGAAGCCTAACCAAAACAAGACTATGTAACCCCTGAATAGAAGCTCCACGAGGGCAGAGATTTTTATCTGTTCTGTTCATGGCTTCATCTCCAGTGCAGTGCCCGACACATAGTAGGCACACAGTGGATAATTATTTAGTGAATGAGCCATCAGGTGAAAGAGAAACTATAGCCTCTCCCAAATTAACTATTTTGCAAAAAGAAATCGAATAGGTAAAGTGTAATGAGAAATGTTACTTGTATAGGGGATTAAATCTCATTTCCATCAGTTTCTAATGTGCTGTGTTTTCATAAGCTCTAAAAGCATCTTGTGAAAAAAAAAAGTGTATCAGAATGTGTCCTCTTAGGTGCGTATATGACCTACGTAGATACTAACACACAGCAACAGCTAGAAATACATATTGTAAATCCTATAAAGATTTAAATATTTATAATATTTATCTTATCAGATAACTGGTGCTTTCTGTACAAGCTTACTAAGCAGTCTAGGATGAAGTGGTTTCACAGAACTGAAATGTTTGTTGTAATAAAATAAAAAGGACATTCAGGTGAGCCACATATCAACAGCTAACGCCTATTCAGGTTGTAAATGGCTGCAGTAATCGTGCCGTCATTTTATGTAGCCTTCTGATCTCCCAGCTCTCAAACCATTTAGGAGCTGATCCTGAACAGATATGGATTACATACATGGCGTTCCTGTGCTGCCATCCCCAGCAGAGTGTATCTTTCCTGGCTCAAAGAGTGGTAACCAAGCCAGGAATACACCATGAAATGACAGAGTTGGAAGGTAACTTGTGATTGATAAAGCCCAAGGACTTCAAAATAATAGAATTCTCTAAGATAGTTTATAATCAAAGTATGAGAAAAATGGTTGTACAGAAATTTCTGATAGGATCACTATAATGTTATCTGTAACCAGCGTTATGGTCACTCTTCCTACATAGGGAAATGGCTGTTGATTTTTCTTTCTTTTTTTTTTTTTTTTTAATGAAACAAACTGAAAAGTGGCTCACTACTTTCAAAAGGAAAAGTCCACCCTAAGTCATCGTAAATTGTATCATTTCTCTGCACTTTACCTTGCAATCTCAAGATACAGAAGCTCCTCAGCTTCCTAACTTCCAACAAATACCACTTTTAACACTTGTAACATACTCTTTTTGTGAAACGCTGAAAGATAAGAATATTGAAAGACACAGAATGATGAGCCGGTTGGAATAGGAACACAACTGAAAGTAGTGAGAAAATGGCAAATTTGTTGCAGGAATGGGTTGTTTGACAAGAGGAACAATTCTATGGAGCTCCCACAGTTTGTGCATCATTTGAAAAGTACCGTACTTGAGCCATCTATACTAATCATCAAGAGGCATGAAAAAGGGTGAACAATTGAAAAAGTGGAAAGCATGTGACCATAGGATCAGCCTCAGTGTCAGAGATCTCTTAACCTAAAATGAATTCAAGGGACAGCTGGAAGTTTGAGAACTTAAAGACTAAGCAAAACTGTGAAATGCTGCTGCTGAAATTGTGGTCACAAGCTATGGATTGTTCCTTGGATCAAGGCTGGTTGATATTTGTGCAGTAACAAAATTTAGTAGCTGGGTCATGAGTGCCCTGGACAGACGTGCTCAAGGGTTCTCTGTAAACCGTACATGTTACGGTGGAGAAAGAGGGATTTTCAACATAGGCAAAACATTTGGGGAGAATATGTCCATGGAAACACAAGTAAATGTAAAATGTCTGAGCAGAAAGAAGAAACCTAGTTTCTAAATTTCTGCAAGAACTGACTCCTATTCCTTATGATCTAATGTATCTCAGGACTACATTCTGACTCTACTTAGTTCATCCCTAAAAAATTTCAAGAACAGATTGAAAACCCCAAATTCTTCTTCATAGTACATTGATTGCAGGGGCCTTTAGTGTCATAGAAAACATTCAAGTCCCCATTTTCACTTACAGTGGTTTGTGATGGGGCCAAAAGCTATACATGAGCAGTGTCTTCTTCTAAGTTGCTTACTATGAAAATAAGAAAAACAAAATGCAAGCATCTTTGTATACATTTTTTTAAAGGACTGTAAAGAAGCAAGAAGAGTCAGGGCCAATGTTATAAATCTTCTTTAATCTCATTAAAGTAATCTGCCCACCTTCATTATCTGTATAGTGTCATTTTGGACTCAGGACCTAACCTATTTGCAAACTGAAGGATTCTCATTCTGTGCAGAGGTGGTGAGAGAAGTTTGTAATGAAGTCTACAAAAACTGAGTTGGCATATCGACAAAGGTTAATAACATTGGTTATCTCTGTCATGTTAGGATTTTATACATGACACATTTGAGTAGTGTATGTATTCACTTTAAATTTTTTATAACTAAAAACATTTTTTAAATACAACCCCATATAGGATATATTTTTCAACTCCACCTTTTTCTCTGTCCTCATCCCTGATGGGGTGGGAGGTCGAGCTGGGGATCTTTCAACATAATACAACATGATAAGTTATGCCAAAGGAAGTGGAGGAGAAACTGACCCCACAGAGTACAGACTGATTATACGGGAGGAAACATGTCGTTACAGTGGAACCATCTGATAGTCACCACCTCAACCAAGTGATCAAATTTATAGCATTATTATGAGTGGGACAGCCTGACATTTTGTGCCTCCTGAATTGATGCAATATTAAGTACGTAATTTCCTATATAAAGTGCTCTTGCCAGAAATGTTTAAGCAAGCTTTTTCAGACCCAACTTTCAGTTTGAGAGCAAAACAGGGACAAATTAAATGACACATCGAAGAAACAATATGACAAATCCAAAAAGACATTTTATAAGACAGCTGCCCTGGTCTCTTCAAAAAGTCAATGATATGCATGGAAAAAAAGTTAATGGTTTTTCTTTTCATTTCTTAAAATATGGGGAGGGTCTAGTCTAGATTTAAAAGGCTAACCAGAGATGTAGAAACCGTATGTAATGTGTGAATCTTGTTTAATTTTGGTTGGGTGGAGAAAGCTATAAAGGATATTCTTGGGACAATAGGAAAATTTTGAATATGGATTGTATGTTAGATAATATGGAATTGTTTTTAAAATGTGATAACAAGGGCACATGGGTGGCTCAGTCGGTTAAGTGTCCAACTTCAGCTCAGGTCATGATCTCACAGTTCATGAGTTCGAGCCTCACATCAGGCTCTCTGCTGTCAGCATAGAGCCTGCTTCAGATCCTCTGTCCCACTGTCTGTCTGCCCCTCCCCGTCCCTCAAAAATAAATAAACGTTAAAAAAAAAATAAAATGTGATAGTAGTCATGTGGTTATGTACAAGACACCCTATGCTTATAAGACTTGTGTGCTGAAACATGGCGAGGTGAAGAGTCATGATGTCTGCTACTGTCCTGTCTAGATAGTGTATATATGTGCTCACTGTGCAGTTCTTTCAACTTTTCAATATGCTTGAAAGTGTTATACGTGTATAGTTGCATAGAGATACAACTATGTAGATACATAGAAAGATAAATGATGGGGGACCAAGGGAGAGAGAGTTGGCTTTTATTCTTGGAGAAGTAAGTTTTAAAAGCACTACCTAATTTTTAAAGAACTAACAAATTAATTTCCCCCTCTTTCTATTTCAGGCTCAAGAGAAGGGAAGATTAGACTATGCTAAGGTAAGTAGATTTTATTTTATTTTATTTTTTTTAATTTTTTTTTCAACGTTTTTTATTTATTTTTGGGACAGAGAGAAACAGAGCATGAACGGGGGAGGGGCAGAGAGAGAGGGAGACACAGCATCGGAAACAGGCTCCAGGCTCCGAGCCATCAGCCCAGAGCCTGACGCGGGGCTCGAACTCACGGACTGCGAGATCGTGACCTGGCTGAAGTCGGAGGCTTAACCGACTGCGCCACCCAGGCGCCCCAGATTTTATACATACTACACAGTTTTCTACATTTCAATCTGGTGTTTGGCTTTTGTTTATAATCAAAAGGTCAAAAAAGAATTATCACATTCGGAGCTGAGGGACATTCCCTGTTAGGTAATAGATATTAGCAGGTAAGTGTATTTATTGAGTGACTACTTCACTCCAGACATTGTGTTAAGTGTTGAGACTATAACAGTGAGCCAAATGAAGTGTTTTCCTTTTGAGACATATACAATGCAGTGTGGGAGGCAACAACTAAATGGATACATAGTATAATGTCATGTGGTGGTAAGTACTAGGAAGAAAAATATACTGGATAAGATAACTAACCATTGCTAGAAAGATGCCTTTGGCCTCTGGATGCAAAACAGCTTTTAGCACCATCAGATAATACCTGAGAGGCACCATACACAGCAGACTCAGACTCCTAAAGGTAGTAGTTTTCACATCATCTGTGGAGCTTTTGAAAACACATATGCCTAGGTTACCACAGCATCACACCCTCTTTCACCAAGATCAAAATCCCCTGGTGGGGAGAGCAGGGCAGGGGCAGGACGGAAGTATTTGGAAAAAGGCTCCGAGATCATTCTGATACATAGCCTTGTTTAAAAAGTGCTGTGGGAGTTCAGATTTCAGTGCACCAGTGGAAGCCTCTGAACACATTTGGGTCACACTTGGTTTTCCCCTCAGGGACAAATGGAACGTTTTAGCAGGTGTGTGGGATGCATACAGCTGCTTGGCTAAAGAAACATGCTAACCATCTGGCTTATGCCACCATCAGGAATATCCAGGGTGTGAGCACACCTGCACCCCAAAGACAAGGAGGAAGAAATACGAGGTGTAAGGGCTCTGCTTGCAGTGGGACAGCTGAAACCCATGGTGATCTTTCAGGGCCGATCCAGAACCTTGTGCTCTCCTGGCGGCCCTGAGGTGCACACCCATGGCTCCACGCCTGTCCCCTCTTTGCCTTAACTGAGATGTAGTCCCTTCTTTTCTCTGTCTCACAAACTATTGCTTTCCTTCGTGCTTTAATACACGGTACATCTCTCAGTCATTGTACTTACTCTGTAATATTATAATGACCCATTTATGAGGCAGACCATAGACTGTGAGCTCTTGGAGGGCAGGGACAGTGTCATATTTGTCTTTATATACTTGGTGCTTAACACAGTGCTTGGCACATGGTAAATAGTGCTGAAGGAGGTAGGGAGGAGGTAAATGGGTAAGTGAATGAGCGAGTGAAGCCGTGAGTAAGAAAATAGAAGACATAAGAAGTCCATTGCAGGAGAAAATCTGGTATAGGTTTTCTTATACCAATCAGAGAGAAAAGATGCTTTCGACAAATGTTACAGGTATCAACAGAGTTAAAAAGATTGTTTGGGAAGGTTGTAATAAACTAGCTTGGAGATAAAGGCTGGGATTTCACTGTGTTAGGGTAAAGGAAAGCTAACTTATGAACAAAAAAGTAAGGGAAAAGTCAACACGATTTAGCAATAGAATAACTGTTGATCCTTGATGCTTATTTTTGACTCCTAGAACTCCTTCAGGGTTTCTTATTGCAGAAGCACATGACAATTGAAGAGCTTAGAAAAAAGGAAAAAATACAGTGCATGGATAGAAGGACACTCCTGGACCCAGCGGTGGCTCAGCCACCAACTCACTGCAAAATCTAAGACCCTTAACCTCTCTGGTCTTTCTTCACTTTCCTTTGTATAAAGCGAGCAGTTTTAGAATAGTGCTGGTTTATTCTTTAGGCCAATTCCAAATTTGAGAGAAAATATTCTTCTTGGGCAGTGGGGGGCATTCTTATATACCTGAGGTCCACATTCATTCCTTCATCTACTTTATCCACTCAACCACCAGTTATTGGATATTTAATATGTGCAAAGCACTGTGTTAGTGCTGACTGCCACCATGAACAAGGCTGATGTAGGCTGTGCCATCACATGCTTCCTTGACTCAGACCTCCCTATCCAAAGTAGCCCCTCCCCCTTTGCTCTATTTTTCCTTCTTAACATTTATCATAATCTAAAATTATTATTTTCATTTAGTTTCTTGCTTCTGGTTTTTTTCTTCCATTGGAATGTAAGAGCTCTGAAGGTACATTATTCATGGTCGCATCATTTGTACCCAACACAGGCTTTATGTACAGGAGGGCTTGTCAAGTGTATGCATATGAGTTGCATTAGTATTATTCTAGAAGTGCAGGAGGTTCTGGGAGGTCTGGAATTGAGGATTGTAGACTTCACGGAGCCATTTTAAGAATATAATGGGGCGCCTGGGTGGCGCAGTCGGTTAAGCGTCCGGCTTCAGCCAGGTCACGATCTCGCGGTCCGTGAGTTCGAGCCCCGCGTCAGGCTCTGGGCTGATGGCTCGGAGCCTGGAGCCTGTTTCCGATTCTGTGTCTCCCTCTCTCTCTGCCCCTCCCCCGTTCATGCTCTGTCTCTCTCTGTCCCAAAAATAAATAAAAACGTTGAAAAAAAATTAAAAAAAAAAAAAAAAAAAAAAAAGAATATATTGACTACAGGGGCACCTGGGTGGCTTAGTCAGTTAAGCATTCAACTCTTGATTCTGGCTGAGGTTGTGATCTCACAGTTCGTGAGATCGAGGCACATGTCGGGCTCTGCAGTGACAGTGCGGAACCTGCTTGGGATTCTCTCCCTCTCCCCCCCACCAAATAAATTTTTAAAAACATTTAAAAAAGAAAAAAAAGAATATATTGACTATGTCACATAGTCCATCTCAATGTTCAGTAGTCCTATGGTTGCCTTCACAAGTGTGTAGTGATCATATTTCTTGTGCCAGTAAACAGAACCCCACCCCTCGGGAATATGTGGTGCGGTTCTGACATTTAAGGGCCATAGCTTGATCTAAGCAATTCATCTAGGCTTATCATCCTTCCACAGACCTAAACACAAGTGACATGGGAAAAAAAGGTTATGTCCATCTCTAGCAGGTATGGGGCAGATATCTGCAGGGTGTAGCTTGTGATATTGTCTCATACACAGTGTACCACGGGCCCTTAGTAACACATGTCATGACCCACGGTCTAGGCATCTCTGTTTTGCATGGGCATGGTGCTCATGCTGACTGATGCTTAGCAGCTTAGGTCTGCCTTTGGGTTTATCTGTAACTCTACATTTGAAAAACTCAGGAGCCATTTTTGGAGACCATCATGAAATGTGTTTGTTGCTGGAAATTTTGTTATTTCCAAGTGGTGAGTATTTACCCAAAAGCCAAATTTTATCTGAAAAGTCAGGTTTTGAGGACCATAGGAGATTATTTTAGCTATGTGTTTTTGTGGCCGTATAGGCCAGCTCTCAAATTTTGTCAGTCTCAGAATGGCGAGGAATCAAAGGAAGAGGTGATCATTTCAAAATCAGTTTCAGCTGGATATTGAGACTGTCACACTCAGCAAAACAGTGGTCTGTACTCAAACCCTCAGATAAGAAATTGAATTACTTTTTAATTGAGTTCCTGTTGCGATAGAGTCTGGATATGAATGCTTCACGGTACTACAATGCCTTTCATCTTAAGATATCAAAGCACTTGACAACCATTAATTCATTTTGTCTCTCCTGCCTCTGTACGGTGGTTAAGACAGTCATGGGAGTGCCCTTCCTGCTGCTGGAACTCATCCACCTGGGGTCTGGGCAAGGCTGGGAGCTGAGTAACCAAAAGGCGATGGTACCCAGTAGCTTCTAAAATAGAAAAACAAGAACGTCTTACTTACCTAGTTAAAACTTCAGGAGAAGTCTTATTAGACAGAATATAATTACCAGAAGTGAACCATGACCCAAAAAGCCAGTGCTAACAGTTAAGCCCCTATATGCAATGCTGTGTGGATCCTAATTACAGTGGTTGGTCTGCAACCCTGAGTGTGTATTTCTCAAGACTATTCCACGTTCCCCAGGCTTCTGGCCCCACAGTTAAGCGCAGCTGATTTGGTGCAGTGCTAGAGGGAAGAGTGCCACCTATTGAATTGTAGGAATTTATGGGTACGGGTTGGGACTGGTGGAGAAGCTTCTCGGACCACATTGATGCTTGGTTTGCTATGGTAACATATATATGTCTGAAAGAAAACGAATATGTTGACTACTCTTGCTTAGAAAAACATCTACAAACGTCTGTGTATTTTCCCCAGCTGGAGCTGAGCGTATGCCTGCAGCTTAGCCTACTGCTACTCGAAATAAGCCTGCTGCTAAAAAGACTGAGGCAGATGGTATTTTTACCACTTCAGGCAAAACATGGCACCTATGGTTCGGCTTTCCACAATTTTAATTTTTAACACTTTCAAAATGGCTTGCTTAAATATCTCCAGTGTAGGGATGCAGACTTTCCCCCAATTTCTTTTTAATAACTGCTTCAGATACACATATATCAATAAATAGTACTTGGTCAAAACCAGACTGTCACCACTGTGATGGCCTCCTGCTCCCTTTCACAAATGCTTCCGACCAGGCCTTAAATGGGCTTTGACATTCATGCTAATTTTGACACAAAGACTCTAAATCGTTTTCAGGAGCTTTCTTTATAGTCATCTCTAGTCTTTACTGTGCAGTTCCTACCATTTTCCCCATGACTCAGTACAGAAAAGAGATGTTGTTTTTTTTAATGTCTTCTTCCTGAGGTTCACTCTAAGCACAGAGTTGTTCAAGGTTAAGCACTGGGTAAAGAAAGATCTTGCAGGTGTTAATTCATTAGGCATCCAGTTCTCGGTGGAACGTAAGAGAGATTTTTTTTTTAAG